CGCGACGTAGCCAAACTTCTTGACGACCTTGAATTTCCTCTCCATTTCTTCGAGGGAGATCTGTTTGGAGATGACCTCTGTCAGAATAGGGACGATTGCTTCTGGAGGGACTTTTTCGGGTATGTGGAAGACATGGTGGAGTGCACACCACACTTCGATAAATAATTTGTGCTTTACATATGCGGCCTGCACAAGATCTGTTTCAGTTGCTCCGCTAGCCTATTATGCTCACTTGGCATCCTTCAGAGCGAGGTTTTATTTGGGCGACGTTTGAAAGGAGCGTTCAGCCTCGGAAGCGGAGAGGCAGCTGTTGGAGACAGCGTATGATTACCCGTTACCGAAATCGAGTGACAGTATGAGAAAAGGTTGTGTTTTACTGTTGACCGCCGTGGATTGAAATTCAGGATTGATGCCGGAACGTGATGTCAGTGGACTCCGAGGTGGAATGTACAGAGATAAGGATTTCTTTGGGGTTTGTGGAAGATATGGCGGAGGCTGTCCCAGTCTTTTGCTTGTTCTACATGATTGAATGTGATGTCGTCGAATTGTAACAGTGTCCTACAAGCACCCCCGGTGGAAAGGTGTTTTTCACAGGCGAAGAGAATCGCTTTGTAATTCTATATCGAGGATTTTGCCTGGCAAGACTTTTAGCAAAGTTGTAATAGTGTCCTACAAGCATCCTCGATATAGAAACGTTGGGCAAGCGACAACATTTTTCATGTTAGAGAACAAAAACGGAAAAAGCGACAATATTTTTCATGTTTGAGAACAAAAACGAGACAAGCGACAACAATTTTCTAGAGGGTCACGAGGTTCTGACATAACAGCCTTGCACCAAACTAGCACCTCGGACGAGAGGGAGCGATCTTCTAGATGAGAGTTCAAACTCGGAAGCGGGAGAGGGAGTTGTTGGGAGACAGCGGGTGTTAACCCCGTTGTCGGAAGATCATGTTTTACTTGGGCTGCTGTAGTTTGGAGGGAGCTTTTGAAAGGCTTCCCCACGACAGCTCAAGGTTGTCATCAGAAAGGAAATCACTGAGAATCATTGAGATGAAGAAGGCATGTAAGTCGCTGGATGCAACATAGGAGCCAAGGACAACATTCATTGCGGTCCAGAAAAGGCATCACACACGGCTTTTTGATCATGGACGAAATGTCGATCCAGACACTGTTGAGGGCAAGGGGATCTGCCATCCTACCGACTTTGACTTTTATGTATGCAGTCACGCTGGTATTAAGGGAACGAGTCGGCCGACACATGACACTGCCCTCCGGACTCTGACAAACAATTTGTGCTACGCATATTCGGCCTACACAAGACCACCTTCAGTTGCTCCGCCACCCCAGCATGCTCATTTCGCATCCTTCACAACGAGGTTTTATTTGTCCGACCTTTGAGATGAGAGTTCAGCCTCGGAAGCGGGAGAGGGAGCTGTCGAGAGACAACGGGTGACAACCTCCTCCCCTAAATTGAGTGACAGTAGAAAGCCGGTGATGTTTTACTAGGGCTGGTATAGTCTGGAGAGAGTTTTTGAAGGGCCTCCCGAGAAGGCACTTTTCAGAGATAAAGAGAAATCGGTTTATAGTCCTATATCGATGATTCAGCCTGGGACGAGTTTTCTTCGAAGACAGCTAGCGACGACGTGCAGTATTTTGACTGAAGTGAACTGCTTGAGAATCGGCATTCAACGCAAAAATGGACCCAACCGGGGCGGACGGTCAGACACACGCACTTGTTGACGTGCAGGTACCAAGACAGCTTCGAAAGGAGATAGCGACGACGACGCGAGAGCCCTGGAGGCATGCCGGGGCCTCCTTTCCTCGGTGCTAGCCTTTGTCGACGTGGCACATGCCACGCCGTCTACACGCTGATGCGACGTTTGATGTCGAGTGTACTTGCTGACGTGTCACATGCAACACTGTCTACTTATTGATGTGGTGCACACCACATTGTCTACTTGCGTGGCATTTACCACCTGTCTTCATTGTGGAGTTGGACGCGACGTGGAGGAAGATCGGGATCTGTGGTTGACTGCATGGGATGTAAATACATATGTAAATACATATCTGTTCGATGCTGTCCTGAAAGTAACGAGTAGAACAGTTCGGTATCACATCGAGGTGCCACGTGGCACGGTCCAGACGTTGTCTTCATTTGGACCGTGCCAGGTGGCACCTTGATGCGATGCCGAACTGTTCTACTCGCTACTTGAACACCGTAGACAACGAGGCGGTGAGGGGAAGCCCAAGGAAGAAGTGAGAAATGTTTACTTCCAGTCCCACGTTCTAAGTCTTTTTTTCCCTTCTCCTCCTTCACGCACTGATATCGTGACGTTGAAGTACTGATTGCATCACGTTTTTTGAGGACTTTATTGACCAAGAGTTATCTTGTGCTTGGGCATCTTCTTGAGTCACCTGTCGACTCAGTAATCTCGTACTTTGGCATCTTTCGGAGTTAGCTTCCAACGACGAATGGGGGCACGACACTGCCGAGGTCCGACCAGCAAAGTGGATTGGATCCTTCGCGTGAATCTGGATAGGTGCACAAATGTGAACTGTACTGCTTGCAAACTGTGTAGGACATGTGAACTGTACTACTTGCAAATTGTGTAGGACATGTTTGTCAAAGAGGCCATATGTAGAGAACTCTAAGACATTCAAGGGACTAGTTTGAGAGCAACAATGCATTTGCTAGCGATTTGAGACTGCTGCAAACAAACCATTTCGAGGACGGACCAGAAACAAGATTGTGACACCACCCGCCGAAGTGATTAACAGAGGACTAAAATCATTCAGAGGCTGTAGCTCAAGCAATGGGAATAATTAGACGAGTACAATCATTCACAGGTTGTAGGGCGAACAACGAGAACGAGTAAAGGACTCCAACAATTGAGACGGTCGCCGTTGTCAGGCCACGACTCCAACAACGATACTGAGCAAAACCAAGACTGTGGCACGACCCGCCTCAGTGATTACAGAACTACAATCATTCAGATGCTGTAGCTCGAAAAACGAGAACAATTACATGACTAAAACAACTGAGACGCTCACCACTGTCAGGGCATGATTCCAATAGCGATTGTGAGCAGAAACAAAGACTTGGCAGCACGCTTCGCACAGAGCGAAGGACCACAATCATCCAGCTGTCACATCAGGCAGAACCACAAATGTATCAAACGAACTATTTTGACACCCGAAAAAGCGGGCAGGAAACAACGCAGCGGAGCCAGCCACGCCCCTGTGTGCTCAACCAATTCCCCAAGAGAAAATGGAAAACAAATTGTTAAGTCGTAATAGAATTCGAGACAAATGACAAAACCTCACTCAAGACTTATGTCCTTGAAACCCGAAAGGAAAATGACACAACAACCGCCTCAAAAAAGAGAAAAAGAAAAAAAAAAAAAAAAAAACACCCAAAAAAAAAAAAAAAAAAAAAAAAAAAAAAAAAAAAAAGAGAAAAAAAAAGAGAAAAAAAAGAAAAATGAAAAAAAGACAAATGTTCGCCATCAAAACAGGAGTACAATGACCACTGGGGGGTAAAAGTGCTAAAAGTGCTAAAAGGAAAAGAACCAGTACTAGTACAACAGTGGATCCAGGACCACGTCACAACAAAAGCGGGTAGAGGACTACATCACATCAAAAGTGAACACAGGACTACATTCCTACGACAGTGGAAAAACGACTTGATCCAAGCGTCAGTGGATCGAAGACTAAGGACGAAACAAAAGTGTGCACAGTCCCCGGTCTCAGATACAGAAGTCTTTCGCAGTGGGTGTAGAAATATGAGAAGCGAAGTAGGACTACAATAACCGACGACGACAACAGCAGTGTTCCCGGTCTCAAATATAGTTTTATAACCGAAACAAACGACGATGACAACAACAACAGTCCCCGGTCTCAAATATAGTTCTATAACAAAAACAAGTTATAGAACTATATGCGCCCTTGCTTATTTCCGCACACGCGGCCGAGCATTGTTGCACAGACCCATCACAAGGAGCTGACCGCCTCCTATCCTCCGATCTTTCTCTTACGACCTCGTGTTTCTGCCCTTGTGGCCTGACTTGAGTCCTGGCTTCGTGCCAGCTGCTCCTCTGGAGGTACTACCACGGGCGGTTCCTCACGCTGGTCAGATCCTGCCGGCAGATTGGCTTCGGTTGCAATCAATCTCGGCATGGGCTCCCATGTCTCCTGTGTCATGTCCTGGCCGGAAGCCTCCGTCGCCGTGGCTTCCTCAACATGTCGCTCTTCCTCCTCGAAGCCGTGATCCCCAGACACCTCAACGTCCGCATCAGGGTGCTGTTCCTTCGACTTACCCTTCCCCTCTTTTGACTTTTCTCTCTGCAACGTCCCTTCGAGGTCAGTGAGCAGCCTCATGCGGATTCCCTTCACACACCGCCTGTCCAGCTCCACGACAAGACAGTTCCTGTTCGCCATCACGCAAGCAATGACCCCCGTACCCAAGCCCGAAAAGCCATCCAAAACGGTGGCGCCTGGTGGAGAGAACTTTGTGACCAACCAGGAATACAATGCATAAGGTTTCTGGTACAGACAAAGCACCCTGTTATCAGCCGGGTGCACAAACTTTCGCGTGACCGCATCAAAAAGTTGGAAGTTGTGGCGGGGATCGGTGGGAGCAAAGTTTTAATGCGTCATCTCACGTTGGCCTGTCACATTGTAGTACCCCAGAACGCAGAACTCCGTCGCGTTGATAAGTCTCGGGCCACCGGGATTCGTCATGTTCGGCTTGCACCACGTGACAAGCTCTTGACCAGCATTGCAGATCTTTGCAATCCCGGACCTCACTGAGGATAGCATGTCCACAGAGCAGAAAGCAGCGACTGTCCAGAGTGATGCGCTCGAAACCTCCTTGACATTCTGGAGCATAGCGACAATGTCACTCTCCGGGAATGGCTCCGTGTCACGCGCGTGTCCTTTGTGCGCAAAGCCGTAGGGCAAATCGAAGATGGAAAGGGAAATCGGCACCTTGTCCTTTTGCAACTGTGCCAAATGCAACATATCGCCTTGAATGACCTTGAACTGCCCCGAGCACCCTTCGTACTTCACGTCAGTCCAGTCCGCGAAAGGGTCGTCCAGGGAATACGCCCGGAAGAAATCGTGACTCGCTCTTTGTGCATCTTTAATCCTCTTGTCCTCCATCTTCCTCCACTCCTTCGCTCGTTCAATGTGATTTAGCAAAGCAGTGGGTTTAGCCCCTCGCCTCTCAAAACTCCCAATGAATGGCTCGATAACCTCCTTCTTGGTGTGCAAAGGATACAACTCCTCTGCGGTTTTGAAGTCTTTGCATTTGACACCATCGCAGAAGGCCTTTGCAAACCAGCCAAACTTCTTCACGACCTTGAACTTCCTCTCCATCTCTTCCAGGGAGATCTGCTTGGACACAACTTCCGTCAAGATGGGGATGATAGCGTCGTGCGGGATATTGCCCATCGTAATCCACGACTGCGCAGGCATGTCAGCCGGGGCCGAAGCAACTTTGTTGTCCTTCAATTTTAGGCGAGGATTGAAGAACGCCATCTCTTGCTGCTTTGCAACAGCCCTGTCCATCTTTCTCGCCCAGCGTTTTTTCTTGCCACCCTCCGACTCGCTGGACTCTGGAGCGACGTCTGTGCGGATCTGACTTTTCGCAAGAGGCTTGAGTTTCTGGTTCTTGACCTCCCCCTTCTGCCACATCTAAAAAATTTGCAGTTGCAGGTCCAAAATCTCTTTGGGACGCATCGCGATCTGCAACAACGGGTCATTATTCTGCAGCTTCTTGGTAGAACACAGTATGCCGAACTCCCGCAGGCAGGCCAAATTCACCTCAGCGTTCTTCACAGACCCCATTCTCTCGAAGAGACATTTCATTTTCTCGATGAAGTTCAAATCTATGTGGTAGCGAGCTGCCAAATTGTGTTTGTGACCCACCTGCCTCGCTTCTTCCGTAGTCAGGCCCGCATAGACATAGCACACATTCCATTTGTAATCCTCCTTGTCAGGGTAAATCTTCTGCAGGCGCTCCCTCGCCTCCCGGCAATGTCCACCTCTAAGAACATAAATGGTGTAGCCACCTTTGCGCAACCGGRCCAGATCCACGTCCTTCTTATCTTTCACCTCCGACGGATCGACGACACCAACGAAGGGAAGATGATCCCCAGTCGGGCAAGTAATCATCGAATCCATGATTGTGGAAACGTGGTCCTCTTCGGGCTCCCGAATCTCGAGTGGCCTGTTTCCCGTTTCGTCATCCGGCGGTCGTCGTAGACACGACATGGGCAGGTAAAAAGGCTCTTGGGAAATTTTCTTCTCCTTTAAACTCTCCAGCTCGTTCCAGGCCCGTATCAACTCGTCGTCGAGTTCGCCGGGAACAAGACCTCGAGGAACTTGAAGCTCGTCTTGCGGAGTTTTGCCTTTCCCTTTCGAAGACGCCACAACTTTCGGCGCAGGTACTTTCTTTTTCGGAGCTTTTGGCTTCGCACCCAGCTCGTCTTGCGGAGCTTTGCCTTTCCTTTTCGAAGACGCCCCAGCTTTCTACGCAAGTACTTTCTTTTTCGAAGCTTTCGGCTTCGTACCCGAACCTTTCTCCAGAACTGCCGAGGACTCGACACACGTCTGCGGGGAGACTACAACTGGAGGAGGCGTTCTCCGCTTGCCTTGCTTCCGTTTCGACGGGCCTGGGGTCGACGTCGGCTCAACGATTGGGTACCTGAACGGAAGAAGCCTGGTCTTAAGACGTGGATCCAAGTATTCACCGAGCTCTCCAATGAAAACCTGCACGAACAAAAAAACGGGCATTGTGGCATGTCAGGACTGCTCAGTGGTTATAGGACTATAACAGTTTAGGGCTGCAGTAAGAACACTCAGCACAAGCAACAGTCCGGGACAGGATCTGAAAGATTACAGAACTACAATCACTTAGCAGAAACAGTACTGCTCGGTGGTTATAGGACTATAACAGTTGGGGCTGCAGCAAGAACACTCACAACAAGCAAAGGACTGGGACAACCTCTCAGCGATTGTCGAATTGAAACCGCTTAGCAGAAACAATACTGCTCAGTGGTTATAGGACTATAACAGTTCAGGGCTGTAGCAAGAACACTCAAAACAGACCGGGACAGCCTCTCAGAGATTGTAGAACTGAAACCATTGTGGCATGTCAGGACTGCTTAGTGGTTATAGGACTATAACATTACAGGGGTGC